TTGACGCAGTGGCTTCTCCTATGGCTTTGACGCAGTGGCTTCTCCTATGGCTTTGACGCAGTGGCTTCTCCTATGGCTTTGACGCAGTGGCTTCTTCTATGGCTTTGACGCAGTGGCTTTCTTCTCTGCTTCGTGACAGAGTATGTGATGCACCACTGGCAGGAAGACTTCATGTTCGGCTATCAGTACCTGAATGGCTGCAACCCGGTCATGATTCAGAAGTGCACCCAGCTTCCAGACAAGTTCCCGGTCACCAATGCCATGGTGGAGGAGTGCTTGGAGCGGGACCTCACTCTGGAGGAGGAGCTGAAGGTGACAGCCGGAGGTTCTGGGTCACACATGGGCTGGTCTTCATGCTGATGTGCTGTAGATATGAAAGTCCATGCGGCTAACAAGTGGGCCCAATATTCTGCTGCACCCAGGCAGGTAACATATACATCGCAGACTACGAAATGATGGAGGGAGTCTCGGCAAACGCTACAGACCCCTGCACCCTACAGTACCTGGCCGCGCCCATCTGCCTGCTTTACAAGAACATGCAGAACAAGGTCCTCCCCATCGCCATTCAGGTCCGTCTCCATCACTCTGACATGTTAACATGAGCAACATGCAGAATCAAGGGCGTAGGTTTAGTTTCAACACTGGTAGGGAGCAAATCAGTCTTGAATCCCCCCATCCCCTTCAACACACTTGGCACTCTGGTATTATTGGTAGAAACATGCTCCTACCATCCATACCCAAATCTATGTCATTGCAAAGAGTTCATTACTATGAATGCTAAGGCCATGTGTCCTCTTTGCTTCAGCTGGGCCAGACCCCTGGAGAGGATAACCCCATCTTCCTCCCCACCGATGAGAAGTATGACTGGCTGTTAGCCAAGATCTGGGTGCGCTCGTCCGACTTCCACGTGCACCAGACGGTGACACACCTGCTACGCACGCACCTGATCTCGGAGGTGTTCGGCATCGCCATGTTTCGCCAACTCCCTGCCGTGCACCCCGTCTTCAAGGTGCACTATGGATGGTTCGCCACTAGTGACATCAAAATACACAGAACTTGATGTTTTCATTTTATGATCCGGTCCTGACCAATCAGGAGCACAGATGCTATGGGTGGGTACTGAACGTGGCATATACGTGTGATGGACTTTGTTTCTGTTCTTCACAGCTGCTTATCCCCCACATCCGCTTCACGATCGCTATCAACACTAAAGCCAGAGAACAGCTCATCTGTGAATGTGGCCTCTTCGACAAGGTGGCTTGATTCCCACCAAGTTAAAATCTGCTCTGGGTTTTCTATCTGCTGATTGGTCAGCTACTCCAGCTTATGGATTTGTCCCGCCCACTTCTGATCTTCAGGCTAATGGCACCGGTGGTGGCGGCCATGTGCAGCTGGTGCAGAAGGCAATGAAGTCCTTCACATACAAATCCCTCTGCTTCCCTGAGATCATCAAATCTCGCGGACTGGACAGTCAGGAGGAGCTGCCGTATTACTTTTATCGAGATGATGGCCTTAAAGTTTGGGAGGCAGTTAAAAGGTAAGAGGTCAGTGGTCAGGGGTTAGAGGTCAACACACTTTAGAGAGCATTATGTGCAGCATGCCGATCTTTAGATATGTACTATGTAATATGTATGAGGGTAGCTTGCAACTTCAGCCACCAGTGTGTCTCCAAAATGTTTTTTGTGTTCGAAGTGTTTACAGATGACATCCTTTAAAGTAGGGTTACAACTGTTGAGTATTTTCATATTTGAAAATTCGGTTTTTGCACATTACTGCTGACATTTTGAAGATGCTCCCATACTTAGGGGCAGTGCCAGGAGTGCCTTCTTGACTCGTACCTGCCATCTTTCCCGTTTACTTACTTGTGTTATGTATGTTTTACTTACGAGAAGAGTTGTAGTATAGTTGGATCGATGCCAAAATTTTGATTTCGGTACCAATACCAGCTTTGGTACTTTGGTATCAATACCAAATCAATACTGAATATTGTAAAACATTTCCATTTAAATTATAAAAGGCTTCGAAATAAACAGGTTTATTGATGAATTAGAGTGGGGTGTGAGTGTGCCCTGTGATGGGTTGGCGCCCTATTCTGGGTTGTTCCCTGCCTCTGGGTTAGGCTCCGGACCCCCCGCGACCCTGAATGGGATAAGCAGTTTCAGAAAATGGATGGATGAATGGATTAATGAATTAAACCAACAGCAATAGCCTACAACATAGTTTTGACATTATCACTGAAATATGCATAGATTAATGAAACATTCAATGCATAGATTGTGATACTTGGTCTCATCTGTTACAGAACCTCATAGGTAGTAAACTCATGTCTGGTTTATATTTCTGTATGTTCTGTTGTTCTTTTAGCATAGTCTAATTCTTTGTCACTCATGATAAGGATATGAATGAACTTGCATCTAGGCTAAACATGATTTTAAATAGAAACATGAAACGTAATAACCACTAAATTACATCACTGTCGTGCATTGTACATCTGTTATCATGCAAACCTAATCACCTTTAAACCCCTCATATATATCAGGCTGAGTGAGACACAGATGCATGGCACGGTTAGACATTCACATTCTGGAGCTGCCAGGTCTGCAGATTCACCCTCATCGTTCGCTTTAAAACCAAAATAACCCATATCTCACGTCTGCTGCCTTGCTTATCGGCGGACGGTGGGCAACAGTGGTTTCCATCTTTCATCTATGTAGCTTCTACACACAAGAGATGCATGAAATCAGTGTGACTGTGATCCTCCCCAAGGTGCAGATTCGGAACATCCGCTATGCAGCGTAACTTGTTTGATGTGTGCAATAGCAATGTACAGCATATATTCGTCAAATATCGAAATTTGCAGAATGATTTTATTTTATCTACCATTTTAAATGATATTGGTATATCAAACAAGATTAGGCGGTGGTCTGATTATGAGCCACACATGAATTTTGGTTATTAACAAGTTATTCAGATGCAGATGATATTTTGAATACTAGTTGTGGCACTACTTGAAAGTTAGGCATACCTCTACACCAGGTGCTTACAGACACCAGTGTTAAAGCTTGGGTTTAAAGAGTTCCACCACTTCAACTGGAGTGACTGTCCCCGCCTCTGTGGTCTGTAGCTTTGTGTCGGACATAGTGGACATCTACTACAGTAACGACCAGGCCGTGCAGGGTGACGAGGAGATCCAGGCATTCGTGAAGGACGTGTGCAGCTTCGGCATGCAGGACCAAGACTGCTGCGGTGAGTCCAGATTGGGGGGGGGGAGGATGTCATGCTACCTTCCTGGAACCCGGGTACACCGTGTCACTCTGCTCATGGCCATCCACCAATACCTCGTCCCTACAGAGTTCCCCAAGTCCCTGCAGACCAAGGAGCAGCTGGTGGAGTACCTCACCGTGGTGATCTTCACCGCCTCTGCCCAGCATGCCAGCATCAACTTTGGCCAGGTAGGAGATGGGCTGATTCCAGGGCTGAGCTGTTACCTCCATCCCCAGTCTAGCATGAGCTACTAGACTAGCATGTCCACACAGGAAGCAAAATGAAGGTGAACTGACTGTTGGAGCATAAAGAGAAGTCAGCATGGTGCCGTTCTCGAGGGCTATTTCATGCTCTTTGTAACAGGAAATACTCTCCCCTACTGAGTGCCTCCCCACGGATATTTTTAGACATCCTTAGCAGCCATGAAGACACATTTCCTCAGGCTGGTTTTCTGTAAACTTGCATAGTTTTTATACCAAAAACCAGGGGTTACTTGGACGGTGTACTCACTTTACGCAGTGCCGTCAGCCTTGCGACCCTTCAGTCTGAAATGGACTCGTGGGTTTATGGGCATGACCTGCTGCTCCCAAATCCTTAACCTTTAACCTTTCTGACTGAAGGAATTACTGTGTGTTGGATCCCAATGTCGGCACAAGAAGCATGACAATCTTATGCAGAATTCAGCAGAACAAATGGCACGTTGCACATACACTACCAGTCAAAAGTTTGGACGCACCTTCTCATTCAATGGTTTTCCTTTATTTTTATTGTTTTATACAAAGTAGATTAATATTGAAGACTTCAAAACAGTGAAGCAACACATGTGGAATTATGCAATAAATAAGTGTTAAACCAAAATTTGTTTTATATTTTAGATTCTTCAAAGTAGCCACCTTTTGTGTTGATGACAGCCTTGCACACTCTTGGCATTCTCTCAGTCAGATTCACGAGGTATTGACCGGGAATATAAATATAATATAATAGTTTACTTATTAATGTACTATGTAGAAAACAATAAAAATAAAGAAAAAACATTGAATGAGAAGGTGTGTCCAAACTTTTGACAGTGTATTAGAGAAACATAATGCTGCATGTCTCCACAAGCTACAGCCCCCAAAGAGACCAAATTCAATGTGAAAATGAGAATGCTGAACCTCGGGGGGGGGGGGCAATGCTTGTTTATGCTCTGTGTATGCTCTGTGTATCTATGTGAGAAAGGTAGAGTCTTCATATGAGCCTCTTCTGCATGTAGGAGTGCCAGTGAACTGACTTGTCCCGTTTGCCCCAGTACGACTGGTGCTCCTGGATCCCAAACTCGCCACCCACAATGCGGAAGCCCCCGCCAACAAACAAGGGGGAGGTCACACTGAAGTTCATCATTGAAAGTCTCCCTGACCGCGGCCGTTCCTGCTGGCACCTGGGTGCAGTGTGGGCGCTCAGCCAGTTCCAGGAAAATGAGGTGAGTTAACAAGGAGAGCCTGACACACAAACACGCTCAGGATAATCCCAGGGACAAACACGGGCACCTGGGGGACAATCTCAGGGATGAAAAATACACTCACATGGGGGACAATCTCAGGGACAAACACGGGCACCTGGGGGACAATCTCAGGGATGAAAAATACACTCACATGGGGGACAATCTCAGGGACAAACACGGGCACCTGGGCACCTAGCTCAGTGACAAAATCGTAATACATACTTGTAATATTTCCTGTATTTTTCTAGCTCTTTCTGGGAATGTACCCTGATGAACACTTCATTGAGAAGCAACCCAAGGCGGCCATGGAGAAGTTCCGTACAAAGCTGAACGAAATTTCCTGCCTCGTTAAGAGCCGGAACGAAGGAAAGAAGCTGCCGTACTATTACCTGTCCCCGGACCGCATCCCCAACAGTGTAGCTGTCTAGCCGGGTATCACCTGCCATAGATAAATGTGTCAGAGTCAGGATTAGTGGCAGACTGTAATCAGAGTATTACCATGTGTGTATGTATATGTGTGTCCCAAGGCAAGTTCGCATTTTACAAATTAAGCTTAATATCAGCTACAGCTACATTTTTTATAGATTTTTATAGAAAGGATATTGTGAAACGCAGCTGCAAGATCACAGAAAGTGTAACAGTAAATAATGGTTCACTAAGGAAGCGTTGTGTAATGAGACTGTTTCTGTGTGGCGTTGTGTTCCGGGCATGACGGGCAGCCTGGCGCCAAGAGCCCAGCCGTCTAAGAGCCACATCCTAACACATGGACAGAAGTGCCCTTTCCAGGCCTTCAGACACACTGCCGGGTCCTCAGTCTGAGAAAACTCAATGGGAAGCTAAGCAAGGTGATGAACTTTCGCCTTTCGCAACCACAGAGGAAGCGGGAAGAATCAGTGAGAGAGATAGAACCCAAAGGAAGTTCATCTCAGATACTGTTAGTCTAAACATTTTTCAGGTTATTGAGTGGTTACAGATTTTGCAGATATCCCAGTGACCCCAGCTTCACAGGAACCCTCTCACCCATCATCATCATCATCATCATCATCATCATCATCTTCTTCCCCTCACTTCTTCTGGTGAGAATCACGGTAGCAGCATGCCAAACAGGGCAAGCCATAGGTGCTATCTGGGAGACATCATCCCTCCAGCATGTCCTGGGTCATTCCCAGGGGCTCCCCCCTGTGGCCGGTGTCTGGAACAGCTCTGCAGAGAGCCGTCTAGGGAGGATCTTTATAAGACGCCCAAACCACCTCAGCTGACTCCTCTCTATCCAAAGGACCGGCGGCTCAATTTCTAGGTCTCTCTGGAACTTCAAACTCCTCACCATATCATAAAGAGCCCAGAAAGCCTGCAAATAAACCTCAAAAACTAATACATACATAATAAAGATGAGAAACCTCAAAGCAATAGAGAACTAAAAGGTGTTAATATTAAACTTTATTACATTTTGAAAATAACGCCAACATGAATATTTTAAATAGCACACTCAACTCAAACACAAAGGACTCAAAGTCACAAAGTAAAGTTACAGAGTGTGGAACAGTATCAGTACAGTAATAAGAGCTAACAGGGTCGGATGATTGACATATCAGTCACACACATACACAGCCTCATATGAAAGAGACAGAGTTATTAACCATAGCAAAGGCTTGGAAAGCTGTCTAAAATGTCACCTGGCACAGAGGCTTCGCTTGCATTAAGTGAATATGAATGGTTACTTTGGAAATGACTTTATTAAAGGTACAAGTCCCATGAAAACAAGCCAAACAGTACATATGGCTCCACCGCATGGCCAGGATTCCTAACTGTGAAACTGTTTCACTGCCTCTGGCCACTTCAGAGCCTTCCAACAACACATGGAGCCCTGCTCCTCGGTCATTATCAAAAGCCTCAATTACCACTTCACAAGACTGACATTTACCAGAGGGCACAGAAAACCAAACACCTTAACAGCACACAGTCTGTAGGCTACTGGTCACACTTACCGAGACAGAAAAGCGGGTTATGGTGATTGTGGGCCAAACCCAGATTTTTCTCAATTACTGATTTACAATAAAAGCAGTTTTTTTTTTATTTTTTTTTTTTTTTAACTGTTTGACAATGTATACTGGGACGCCATAACATTCCTCAACAGATGGCAGCATTGTTCTCATGCCTGAAATGGTCCTCAGTGCAACAGCAGGTAAGGCAACATGAAAATGCAGAGAAAACCACTCTGCTTAGTGTTAGGGTTACGCTTGCTACAAATAGAGCCCCTGTATTATGGAGACTGATCTCAGAAAACACTGCTTCTGGAGAGCGCTGATCTAGTATGGGCTCTCTGGCTACAACCTCCAGAGAGAAAGGCTGTACTCTCAGACTTCCACCCAGAGAGGCCAAAGGCTACACCATCTGCTCCGCACAAGGCCTCACAGCCTGGACACAGAGTACAACAGCAGGGACTAAAGACAAAGAACAATACAGGGCAACAGCTGCTGGCTTACTGACTTATCAAGGTCATGTCAGATGAAGTCAGCCAACAGGCCTGCAGGGGTCATTACAGATGAATTATGGGTCATGACTTAGCAACATTAAAATCAATAGGCTTACAAATACACAAACTAGATAAACAGAATGAAGAACAGATCTTCAATAACATACTCACGATTAAAAATAGACAAACGCACAGAAGTCAAAGGTTACAGGTGTCCTGCGTCCTACAGCAGACAACCAGCTCAGCCGAGGTTTGCGTCATCCTAACTGCAGGAAACTTCCTTCCTTCTTTATGGAAAGTGCGTGTAAAATCTGTCACGCCCTCAAGCAAAAGACAAGATCTGATTGGTTCAAAGTGGTCAAAATACAACATGATATAAATATGTAACAAATACAAAAATCATTCTTGGACCCAGGTATTTCTGACTAGGTACAACTCCCACTATTTTTGAAAACTGGAACGAGCACTTCTGGAGTAATTTGTTGTTCTTAATCCCTTCTCTGACAAAGACCTATGTCTGGGATACAAAAGCCATAGAAAACAGGAATATTTCAGCCGAACTTCAAGTTTTCCTCTTTAAGTTACATACACGTTATAAAGCAATTTATATAAAAAGTGCATGAGCAGATGAGGGATGTGTAGCGCTGGGATCGTGGGACTCTGCTCACGGCCTGGTCCTCACAGTCATGCCCATTGCCAAAAGTCCCCACCACAGTGCTACCACTGACCACTGCAGTACAGTTCCAGCAGGGGGCGCTGCAGAAAGCCACTCAGATGTGCAGGATTTCCACACTGTAGTCCTCCGTCTCCGTGTACTGGGACGAGTTTGTGTCCGGCTGCATGGGTGCCAAGGCCTCCTTGTCACAGGGAGGCTCGCTGGGCGCTGGCTTCTGGAATACGATGTTCCTGGGCACCTGTGGCCGATTCTGCACATATATCACTCGGTTGTAGGCCTTGAGTCGACGCCACAGCTGCACATAGACCTTGCACTGCACGTACATGAACACAAGTCCGCCCGTGAAGCCGATTGCTACCACCACCAGCTTGGTCCAGAAGGGCCACTCCAGAATCCCTGTAAGCAGAATCCATAGCAAACAGGTCAGAATGCGCAGCATTCAAGGTCAAATGCTACAAGAAGGAGACAAACTTCAGAAGCTACATTTGACTTAGATTCCCAAGACGCACTGCCATCAGTATATATTTTGATAATGCCCCTTAAAATCACAGCCTTCCAGTTCTGCATCACATGGTCGGGGTAATGGGCAAGGTTTGAGATTCCTGAGTCACTTCACCACCCAGCCCCTTTAATTTTCCACCAAATCACAGAGTGCCATGCAGAAGGGCCAGCTGGACCACTGATTCACACCAATCGCATGCAAGCAGCAGCCTGACGGAGCTGCCGAGGTGCCCTGGCAGTTCAAAAAGCTGCTTTCAGGAAAGGTATGCACTATTATCAACATCTGCACATCTGCACTGCATCAATAACAGCTCCAGCTGTTACAGAAACAGCCCAGCCTGATGGGCAGGGGCTGAACTCATTGGCCATCAGGGGGCAGCGTTACACACACGGAGTTTACAGGGACCCAGAGAGCATGTGATATGGCATTTTAACAAATGACATGCAATGAGAAGAGGCCTTTACCTGGAATTCTTCTGGCTGCATGGTCAAAAAAAGGTCAAGCTTAATATATTACTGAAAGATGTAGTTTATATAGAGAAGGTGATCTACAGCAGGCAGACATTAGATATGGCAGTCCCCAGATTTGAACAGAGAAGCAGGTAATATGTGATATTGGGATGAATATATGACAGGGGCTCCTGTTGCAGGCAGCAGCCAGGGGGCGCTGTGGCCGGCTGGCCTCAGAGTGAGAATGACAGATGGCAGGTGTCCGCCAGCGCTCCAGCTATGTGCCGTTGGCCTGACCTGTTTTGATCTCCTCGGCGGTGCGGTCGATGAGCACGTACAGGGACCACACCACGCAGGTGATGGCGATGATGTGGAAGGTGACGGAGCACACGATCTTCCGCCGCTCGCTGGGCGCCATCTGCAGCTTCTCCCACTGCAGACACAAGTAGACGCCCGTGCTCACGTCACACCACGACCAGCCAATCGCTATGCACCAGGGTATCCCCAGAGGCTGCAGGAGGGGCACAGTGCCCCCCTACCCCCTCAATCCAGTGGTGCAGCTCAGAACGTGGGCCCCATCCCTTCCCTTAAACGCTAAAAGAGTTTTTCATTGCAGGTGAGGCTAAATAAAACCTGACTGTATGGAGTTCCTTGCCAGGCACCCCCGTAGCTGACTGTCTGGAGCCCCCCCCCTCCCTTTGGGCCGAATCCTCACCTTACTGAGAGGCTTCAGCTTGGTCTCCATGACAAAGTGGTACTTGCAGAGCTCGCAGCAGCGCGTGTCTGAGCTCTTGATCCACTGCTGCAGGCAGGCCTGGTGCACAAAGCGCAGGCTGCCAGTGCAGAGGCAGGGGCTGATCAGCGGGCTGTCCTCATCGCCGTCACAATGGCAGATCCTGCTCGGGGCAGGGGGAGGTATTAGCAGCAGGCTGTGCGGTCTGCCGGCTCATACCTTCTGACTCATGATGCCCTGCAGCGCCCACCAGTGGCAAAGTAGTGCAATGCAACAGAACTGCCAAAAGAAGCTAGCTGCACCAGTGTGGTAAGGGCAACTTAACAGAGACACCATCAAGACTAAAAATCACTTTAAAAGTTATCAGACAATCACCTCCCTCTGCCTCCCCTCCCCTGTCATGAATGTTGCACTGTGGTTTCAGGAGGAATGTTACTTTATTGCACTGGGTACTCTACATTGCTGAGATCACTATAGTGCTTTACTTGACACTTGGCTCTTCCCAGAATGCTGAGGAGAGCAGATGTCGTCAGCTTTCATAGTTAGAATCCACAAAGTCACTATAAACTACCCTAATAGAGGAGGAGATCAAGCAGGAGGAGAAGCAAAAGGTCACTCAGACAAAGCAGGAGAGGAGGAGACCCTAGGAGAGGAGGTTAAGTAGGAGGTCTCCCTGCGAGAGTGGGAGGTCAAGCAGGAGGTCACCCTAAGAGAGGAGGCCAAGCAAGACGTTACCCAGAGAGAGGAGGAGGTCAAGCAGGAGGTCACTCAGACAAAGCAGGAGATCACCCTAGGAGAGGAGGTTAAGTAGGAGGTCTCCCTGTGAGAGTGGGAAGTGAAGCAGAAGGTCACCCAGAGAGAGGAGGAGGTCAAGCAGGAGGTCACCCTAAGAAAGGAGGCCAAGCAAGAGGTCACACAGAGAGAGGAGGAGGCCACCCTGAAATAGGGAGAGATCACCCTGAGAGAATGAGAGGTCAAACAAGAGGTCACCCAGAGAGAGCAGGAGGCCACCCTGAAATAGGGAGAGGTCACTCAGAGAGGAGGTTCAAGCTGGAGGTCACCCTGAGAGAGGAGGAGGTAAAGCAGGCGGTCATCCTAAGAGAGGAGGAGGATCAGCAAAAGGTCACTCTGAGAGAGGAGGAGGTCAAGCAGGAGGTCACCCTAAGAAAGGAGGCCAAGCAAGAGGTCACACAGAGAGAGGAGGAGGCCACCCTGAAATAGGGAGAGGTCACTCAGAGAGGAGGTTCAAGCTGGAGGTCACCCTGAGAGAGGAGGAGGTAAAGCAGGCGGTCACCCTAAGAAAGGAGGCCAAGCAAGAGGTCACACAGAGAGAGGAGGAGGCCACCCTGAAATAGGGAGAGGTCACTCAGAGAGGAGGTTGATCAGCAAAAGGTCACTCTGAGAGAGGAGGAGGC